CCTCACATATACAGTCTGATACCTAAATTGTATTCATGGCTTTAGATTTAGATTAGTAAAATGTAATGGTTTATGAAAGTTATTATGCATGAGATTTTTTTAATTGTTGATCATGGGAATGAGATTGTAGGGTTCATGTACTTTTAAGCTTTGAGTGTTGAACTTCATATTTGTTCTTTTAAAAACTATTTTCTCACATAATCATTTTACTGTTATGTACAGTGAGATTTATGTATTGAACACATTAATTGAATGTAATTGTTTTTTTTATGATCTGTCTTTATAAATTGAAGTCTGGTCTAGAATAACTAGTGCATCATTTGTTTTTCTTAAATATGTTAACTACTAATTTTCACTATTACTGGTTTGTGTATTTTGTTCAGTGTTTGCCACTTGGTGTCACTGTTTACCACTATATTTCTGAGCCACAGTGATAAAACTAATAAAAGATGTAAATGTCCTTTAGTTATCTGACTCTGGGCCTTGACTCAGCAAATCACTTAATACATGCTGAACTTTAAGCATGGAAGGCCTTCTCTAATCAATTAAGCACTTAAACATTGGTTTAATTTTAAGCACCTGAGTAGTCCCATTAATTTCTGTCTTAAAGTTAAGAATATTCTGAAGTGCTTTGCTGAAACAGAGTCCAGGTGAGGTTAAACTTCTATTAGAGTATGTGTACTAATGCATAAAATATAATTTATTAGAATTGTTCGCATTTTCATTAGAACCTATGCCAATACCATTAATCTTTTCTGGCCACAAAATAAAAGGAAAGATAGTAATTGAGCTTGTACAGCATTTAAGAAATAGAGTGTAATTTGTGTACAAGCAATCATGATTCTTTTGTTATTTAGGAAGTAAAGTTGACAATTTGTGCAGCTGCGGACAACATACAGATGATGTTTTCCTGGCAATTGTGTGTGAATTTCTAGTCCTAATGAGTCTTTCAATAACCTATACACTTTCTCAGTTTTTCCATACAGGATAATATAATATGTATAGATCATTTACTTGTAATAATTATCTTCTATAAAATATCAAGGAGGTTATTTTAAGGGGGAAAGTTCATATTAATTTTGGGCAGAGTTGAAGTTAGATTGACGGGGTGCAGAGGCATCACTTCGTTCCCAGTACACAATGAGTTAACTCCAGTTTCCTTTTTCTTTCTCCTTTGGCATGTGTTAAAGAGAAGGGCTGTAAGAAGGCTGCGGGAGAGACAGAGGGATGGGAATGTCTGTGGATTGGGCAGTCTTTTATTTTTCATGAAATCATAGACTCATAGGGTTGGAAGGGACTGCAAGGGTTATCTAGTCTAACCCCCTGCCGAGATACAGGATTTGTTGTGTCTAAATCATCCAAGACAGAGGGCTATCCATCCTCCTTTTGAAAACCTCTAGTGAAGGAGCTTCCACAACCTCCCTAGGCAGTCTGTTCCATTGTCCTATTGTTCTTACCGTTAGGAAGTTTTTCCTGAGATTGAATCTAAATCTGCTATGCTGTAGTTTGAACCCATTGCCTCTTGTCCTGCCTTCTTTGGCAAGGGGTGTGTGTGTGTTGTTTGTACTACCATGTTAGGGACTGAAAAATAACCTTTTTTTCTCCTTGTCAATACATCCTTCCCCACTTGGCAAACATTTACTTTGTTGTGTTTTTATTGCGGCACTACTCTTTTTATCTTTGTTTATTCCTTTGTCTGAGAAACAACATCTCTGGTGATATCAGCAGGAATGAATGGCTCTGGGAACAGTACTACAGTAGATAGTGGAGTTCACATATGTTATGTTCTTGTGATCCCAGCAAAACTGCTTTGCTTTTTAAAATGTATTAGAAAACCAGTTGTGGATTTCAAGTATACATTTAAAATTGATGCTTAGACGCTATAGAACATTTCTCATTAGACTGTAATAATTTTATGGTCCATACAAATTTGGGCCTAAACCAATTGACATTCTTCCTTTGATATTAGTTGTGTGAATTGTTTTGACAACTCAGCTGAAAAGATGCAAGTACTTAAACAGTATAATAAAATTTACCAATCCACCACTACCAACAAAAAACCCAGAATAGACTTTTGATGCTAAGTGCATGATTTAGGTATTTATAATATAGAGGTTAAATGGGCATAAGCCATTGAAATCTCACTTACACTTTAGCCGGTGTATACAGGTCAGACTAGATAATCATAATGATCCCCTCTTGCCTTAAATGTGTATGAATCCAGTCTATTTCCTTGGGACAGAAAGTTGGGCCAGGGAACATTCTGTTACAGAATTATTTCAGTCTTAACATTGTACCTGGACACCCACTGAATTTCAACACATGATTTTTGCTTAATATCACAACTAAAAAGATATACATAGCAGATTATTGATGACGTTGTAATGATGGAGTCAGTACAAGATGAAGTCTTTATGTAAGGCTTGAACCCCAAAACCTCTCATTTAGATGTAACAAGGTTATTGACTGACACATTCTGACACTTAAGTAGTAGAGCAGAAAAGACACTGCAGTCTTGCAAGAGTTATTTCCTCTGCTATAAAAGCATATTCTTGTCATTGTATGTTTAATCTATATGTATAGTTATTGATTATAGTGGCACCAGGTAGCAGTTCTATTATAAACCACAGTTTATAACTTAGCTGGAAAAAATTGGCTTCAGGCTGAAACTTGACATATAGGGCACCAGCCTGAGAGCAATTTTTTAAAACACCTTTTCAAAAACCATCCATTCAGCCATTTTGGGGGTTGTACCAGCAAAACAACACACACAGTTGTTGTGCGGCTTTCAAAATCACAGCATATCATCTCTTTGATTTGTAAATGTTTAGGTACAGGAAAGAGTGATTACTTGTTCATGTAAGGGGAAAGCTCCTCACATGTTAAGTGTGGAGTTAAGTTGTTCAGCCAAAATGTTGATTGCATCATGTGCAATGAGAGGTTGCTTTCTTCTGACACCTCTTCTGAAATTTTGACATGTGTTTCTCTGCTTGTACAATAGCATGTAGAATTTTTTGTCATGGCTTAATAGAAGTAATTAAAAATGACAGGCTCAATGTCTTTGTTATCCAAACTTTTGTTCATATTTGTAATTGGATAAGTTTCCTAACTCTAATTAGAATTGAATGACTAATCCTTTTTTCTAGATTTTTATCACAATTACACTTTGCTCATTAGAGTATCAAAACATCTTAAAGTGAAAGAAAAGGAAGAATCCAAAGAGAATTGTTACAATCAATATTAGTCAAATGTTTGAGGATAGCATTCTTAAAAGCAAAGTTGTTTTCTGATGTTAAAAGTAGGTGGAGTTGGAAGATATTTTTCTCTAGTGCCATAATGATCTTTACTTAATTTCTTAATCAATAGAACCCCTGTTACCTGAAACTATTAGGGACACAGAAAATGTTATAATGGAGGGCAGTCCCTGAATACTGACATCAAAGCATGCTGCCTAGCACTAATGCACTGAATTCCTGGAGTGTCAGCCAGCTTTGGAGAAGGTAGCCATTGGTCTAGCCAGACCTCTTATCAAGAATTCTCAGGGGTCTTGTCCAGGTTCTGGGTAACAGAGGCTCTGTTCCATAACCAAATGAAGACCATTGAAATAACACTAACATTAACATTCATTATATTTTTCTGATTTAATAGACTACTTTAAGTTGTCTTTTTCAAGGAATTGACACCTAATTCTTAGAACTCTCAGTTAACTAAATACCCCCTCTAACTAATTTTAAGTCTTAACACACTGGTGAACCTCCAGTTGTATGTCACTTTGGATGCAGACCAATTTTTAGTGAGCCAACACTCTGCTCCCCTAGAAAGTGAGAGAACTACACCGGACCACCCTTAGCAGCCTTTGCCCTAGGGTTCAGTAATTTCTTATGGCTTGGAATAAAGCTTTATCTCCCAACTGTCCAGGTTGGAGAGACTTATCACCTTCCTCAGTTTCAGCATCAAAGTGGTTTAATAATTTAACTGTCCTGGAATATCTATCTGCCATCACTTTTTACAACAAAAGTTGTATTGCGTGACTGATGACACCAAAACCAGAATAGGATATCTAGGATCACCAAATAATTCATTGTTCCCTAAACAAAAAGAAAAACCAGTCACTCAGTATGGACAATAACTGACATAAGGTGAATAGTGCAAACTGTGCCACCTTTCTAGCAAAGCCCTAAACATACTTAGTCTTGAAACATTAAAATTTTAAAGTTTCCTCTTGCCTATAGAACATAAAATCTTTAAAAAAATATATAATCTCATGTCTGTGATTATAAACATCTTTTCCTGTGGGTGGTTTTAAAATACTTGTCATTCAACAACAAATTTCTCTTGCAATAAACAGCTACCAAATGTTAGAATAAAGTGTTTTTTTCCTGCTAAAACAGTAGATTTCTGAGTGTTGCTTTTGGCAGCTCTATAGAAGAATCTATAAAATATTTTATATTCAACTCTGTTTTTTTCATAAAGCACTCTGTGCTGCATTTTCCTCTCAAAAACATGTGCACTATGGCACTGGCAAACACTAACATTTGTTTTCCCAGATGTAACATAGTATAATATATACTGTAACATAATGTACTGAAGTGTTATGTACCTTGATATAAAATTACCCAGGTTAGACCAAATAGCAGTATGATTTTTCTCCATGGTAAAGTATAGTATACCCTTTGCTACCCTTTTATGTCTAATCAGCATCTGAAAATTTGGTATGTCTTCCTTTCATTTTGTGATTCATACAGTATTTTTTCTGAGTCTGAGTCGAATGCAGAAATCTACCTTTTATTACTTGAGCAAATATAACATTTTTAATGTCAGTGGCTTGCCTTGTTATCTAAATTATGCCTCAAGCTGCTGTTAAACATAAAAATCAGCACACTGTCAAAATGAGCAATCTTGACATCTATAATTAAACCGTTCTAATTTCTACATTGTAGAGCTTTTAATACCTTTGCCTAACAGACTATACAACTTACATATGTTTGTTTGTAAAACAGGCCCTGATTGTTCTTTGAACGTTCCTTCCATGGAGTCTTACTGGATTCTACCAAATGTAAAGCCGTTCAGTCCTTCTGTAGGTCGGGCTTCCCATAAAGCAGTTCTACATGGAAAATTTATGTGGGTGATTGGTGGATATACCTTTAACTACAGTTCATTCCAAATGGTATTAAAGTAAGTGATTCCCCCTTTGTTATTCTTTGTGGAATTGATCTTTGCTAGGTAAATAACATTCCATTGAATTACTGTCCTACATTTTCACGAAAGCTTTATCAATCTATTTTAAAGGAATCTTATTAATTACAATTTTCTGTGTTCTAGTCATATTTTTTTAATGGCTGAGAATTAAAACAATGTAAACAATATTAGTTCATGACACTGGCACTTTTTTATAACAGTTGCTGTTACTCTTTTGTGCTCTAAAATATTTAAGATATTTGCAGTGTGACAAAATACTTTCACTTGAATGTATTGTTTGTAAATATTATACCTAGAATGCTTTTTGCAATGTTAGTTAGTTATATTAAAATAGACTTATTTTAATTAATGTTAATGTGAATTTACTTGCTATTTTATTATTTATATAGCTTTCCAAAGTTCTCTAAGAAAGATAGGTTGCTGCCCTGAAGAGCTTACAATCTAAATAAAAAAAAAAATCAGACATGGGGTGTGGTAATGTATATAACATGCAAATATCTTTTTTCACCAATTTTTGCCTAGTTTTCTTTGCACTCCTCTTCTCTCCTTTGTCATCTGTCCCCAATCTACGCCTTCCTCCTTAGTTATGTTTTATATCCCTTCTTTCCCAGTTCTGTCTTCCTGTTCTCTTTATCCCTTTTCCACTCTTAGGGCTGGTCTATACTTACCCGTTAGTTTGACGGCTGGAAATCGAACTTCCGGGTTCGATTTATCGCGTCTGGTTTGGACGCGATAAATCGATCCCGGAAGTGCTCGCCGTCGACTGCGGTACTCCAGCTCGGCGAGAGGAGTACCGCGGAGTCGACGGGGAGCCTGCCTGCCGCGTGTGGACCGCGTCTGAACCGCGGTAAGTTCGAACTAAGGTATGTCGACTTCAGCTACGTTATTCACGTAGCTGAAGTTGCGTACCTTAGATCGAATTGGGGTGTTAGTGTAGACTAGGCCTTAGCAGACTTCATTATGTTAAGTCCTGAATGCCCTCAACTCCTATTAAAGTTAATAGGATTTAAGGTCAACCCCACAGGAAGTGCTCAGCACTTCATAGGATTGAACCAATACTACTTGGGCTAAGAGGTAGTGGTTTACTACATGAGGATGTTAATGTGAAAAAAAGGAGTTAGCCAATCAGAAATTTTAGTAAGACCAATTTTGCCAACTGTCATGATTTTATTTCAAGTCTTGTGACATTTAATATTTTTCTTAAAACACCAACTTCTGGAGTCAAGTGATTATGTGAGAAATTTGGCTTTTATTAAAAAAATACATTTCTGGCCCCCCTGGTTGCAGGGACAACCTCCCTCAGATCCAGCCTATTGGCCATATTGGATACCCTAGTCACAATACCCTCCCCTCGAAACCCACACTTGCTGCAAGGGCTCCTTTGCCTGCCTCACTCTTAAGAGATCCTTCTGGCAGGTGTTCGGGTCTGGTGGTGGAGGAGGAACTCTTTTTTTAGTCCAGTACCAGCGGTGCTGCCATAACTAGCAAGATTTCCCTCTTCATCTCTGGATGAGGCGATGATTACAGCATCCCCTTCCCCACTGGATGACTTTAGAAAATTTCAGGAACTGTTGTGGATTGTCAGAGGGGAACTCCAAATTCCCCTGGAAGAAATTCAATACTTCCCCAACACAAGTTGCTAGATATATCCTTCACACCTTGAGACTGGTGAGAATTTCATTACCAATTAACAAAGCTATTCTGGAGCCTTCTAGCACAGTGTGGCACAGCTACCCCTAAAGGGGCTGAAAAGTGCTACTACATTCCTGCCAAGAGTTCTGAGTTCCTTTTATCTCACCCTCCTCCAAACTTTTTAGTAGTGCAGGCTGAGACTGAATGGGCCAAACAACAACATCCTCAATCCACACCAGCTGATGAAGAGGGCAAACATCTGGACCTTTCGAGAGACAAGGTATTTTCTTCTTCTAGCCTGCAATTCAGGACAGTTAATTATTAGGCATTACTAGCCAAATATGGCTTCCTGAATTACAGTAAATTCAAGGAATTTACTGGTAGCCCACCACAGCACATCAGGCTCATTTCCAGGGCATATTGAAGAAGAGAAGCTGGTGGCCAGAACAGCTCTCCAATCGGCGGTGGATGCAGCAGATGCCTCTTTCAGGGCCATGTCTTTGGCCATAGTCATGTGTAGGGAGTCTTGGCTCTATTCTTATGGTTTCCCTAGGGAGGTACAGAACACTATTGAAGACCTCCCTTTCAATGAATCCCAGCTTTTTAATCAGAAGATGTATGAATTGCTGCATACACTCAAGGATTCCAGGGCCACACTTCACGCGCTGGGCATCTACACTCCTGCCCTGAAGTGAAAATTCCACTGCCAACCACTCACTCAATGCTATAGGTCTCCTCAATTCTACTCTGAGACTTTAAGAGTCTCTGAGGAAACATCAAAAGACACAGAGGTCTTGCCTCCCAGGGTCCCCCCTCACAGGCTTCGATGTCACAGCTGCAACCTCCAGCCAAGAAGAATTTCTGATGCACGCCTGAGAGCTGCCAAACCACTATGTCTACCACCTCAGAACTCTCCTACTCCCTTTGGGGGTCATTTAGCACTCTTTTTTGCCATGCTAGGAATACAGTAACAATGGACAGATGGGTGTTGAACATCATCCACCGTGGCTATAAAATCGAGTTTATCATGCTAATTCTTCTAAGGCCCCCCTCCCTGACCCCTTCAGGGACCACTCGCACAACAGCATTCTTACTCAAGAGGTGAACTCCTTCTTTCAAAGGGGAGCAATAGAACATGTTCCCCCAGAATATCAGGGAACAGGATTCTACTTAACTTACTTCCTGTTACCTAAGAAGAAAGGGGTGGGCCAGTCCTCAATCTCTGGCACCTCAGTTGCTTCATCCACAAGCTCAAGTTGCATAGGGTCACACTAATAGTGATAATTCCATCCCTAGAGAAGGGCATGTCGTATACGGCTCTCGATATGAAGGATGCTCACTTTCACAATGTTTATCTGCCCCACAGACATTTCCTGAGATTCACAGTGGATACCCACAATTTCCAGTACAGAGTGCTCTCATTCGGTATAGCCACCACGCCCAGAGTATTCATCAAAGTTATTTCTGTCATAGTGGCTTATGTCAGATGTTATGGTGTCTTCATGTTTCCATATCTTGATGACTGGCTCCTATTCGCAGGGCCCAGGCAAGAATCCCAGGTGTCAACCTCCATGTTACTCAACCTTCTTTCTTCCCTCAGAGTCAGCATCAATGTCCAGAAATCTATCGTAGACCCCACACAGTCTTTGGACTTCATAGAAGCTACTATAAGTTCGGTCACAGTATGAGCTTACTTACCAGCAGACGGGGTCCAGGCAATGAGCAACATCATAACTCACATCATGAACTATCCATATGTACCAGCCAGAACTTGTCTGTCCCTCCTCAGCCACTTGGCTTCATGTACCTACGTGATCCCCTTTGCACGACTCCACCTTTGCTGTTTCCAGACATGGCTCCAGTCTGTTTACTTGCTGAACCACCATTCCATGGTTTCCATGCTGATAGTCCCTGACAAGGTGCTATCATCCCTCTAATGGTGGACAGACGCACGTCACATATGTTTAGAGGTTCCTTTTCTTCCTTTCTCCCCAGACAAGATGATTATCGCTGATGAATCTTTGGTGGGCTGCGGGAAGGAGTGGAGTTCACAGTGGAGCTGTGAGAAAAGCATGCCAATCCTTTCGTCCCTTCATCCGCTTGCATCATGTTCTTATCATGTCTGATGTTGTAGGGGCACAGTGGTCCCTCCTCCTCTGGCTCGGAGGGAGGCCACCCCGCGTCAGTATGTCACCAGGATCATGGCCTACTGTTGGAGGAATTAGCAGAGTGGGTGCAGTGTCCCGGCCTTTGTGACAGGGTTAAGTCCAAATGGTCAAGAGGCCCTAGGCAGGGTAGAGCTGATAAGCAGTCTATAACACTAACCCTTAGGCAGGGGAGTGCTGGCAAGCCATCTACAGTGCTGATCCCTTAGGCAGGGGGGCGCTGGCAAGACGTCTACACTGCTGATCCCTTAGGCAGGGGAGCACTGGCAAGCTCTTGCCACGTGGCCTATGGCGGGGACACTGCTACCCCAGGGATGCGGTGGCAGGGGTAGGGGAACGCAGGCTCGCCTGACTCCACTGCATTCCAGCCCAGGGCCCTAACAGTGGCAGGGTGTCTCGCTGCCAGATCAGCGGGGATCCTCTCACAACGTGCTGGCTGGCTGTTAAGCCACAGCACCATCAAACTAAACCCCTGGGCTACTTCCTACCAGAGTTCCAGATCCGGCTCTGTGGTCTCCGGTTCGTCAGGGTATTCGGCCGCTGGGCAGTCCCATCAGCTCCAGCTACTTCTCAGCCTCAGCTTCTCCAGGTCCAGGCCGCCATCTGGCTCGGCTGCAGGGTCTGCGGGCAGCAGCAAGCAGGACATGTCTGTCTCCTTCTCTGGCTCAGTCTCCCTGGGCTGGGAGCTCCACCTTTTGTACTTCCTGCACCGCCTCTCAACTTCTGGTGGGAGGGCCGGGCCCGGCCGGACACTGCCCAGTGGGCGGAGAGAGTGGTCCCTCCTGCTCTGGCTAGGAGGGAGGCCACACCGCTTCACTACATCTGACAACACCACCACTGTTTTTTACATCAACAAACAAGGAGGGACGAGTTCATCCGCATTATGCGCAGAGGTGATCAATCTCTGGAATTGTTACATTAACCACCAAATACTCTTGTCTGCAGCCTATGTACCTGGGATACAGAATGTATTCTCAGACTCGCTCAGGAGACATTTTGTGATCAACCAGGAGTGGGAACTTCACAATTTGGTAGTACATGACATTTTCACTCAGTGGGGGATTCCTGCCAGAAATCTATTCACTTTGCAAGTGATCAGCAAGTGCGCAACATACTGCTCCAGGGGAGCCCTCAGCCACCACAGGTTGATGCCCTCCTACACCCATGGTAGGACCAACTCAACTGTGTCTTTCTTCCGCTACCGCTTTACCTTGAGTACTGTACAAGATTCGATGAGACAGAGTGACGGTGGTGGAAGGAGGAAGTGCATGAAAAAGCGAGATTAAAGTACTAAGAGAAACAATGTGAGTTTCTAGGACTAAAGTTAAATACTGTGGGCCAAATTCTGCTGTGAGTTACCTCTGTATATATTGGAAATAATTAAAGTCGATAGGGTTACTCTCCGTTTGTGCATGCATCACTCAGAGAAGAATTTGTCCCTTTTTGTTTTTTCAGTATTGGTGCTTAATATGTTTAAATTAGAATATTTGTGTCATGTAATATTTTGTAATTCAGTTTTATCAAGAATGACTTATAATTTTACACATGCAGCCTTGTGATCAAACTTCTCACATTCCAGATGCTAGTTCCTTTTGATGCTGATGTTTGCTTGAAATAATAAGAGGATTTTGGAAGTGATTTCTCTGCTGTTTTCACAGGCAGGAAGGAAGGGACTACTTAACAACTGGTGGGAGTGCTAATTAGAATCAAATTATAACTTTGTTCACCTGTCTTGGCAAGAGGTATATGCTTAAAACAATGGTTCAAGGTTTCTCGAAATAAATGAAAGCTCTTTGACCAAGAAAGAGGAATTTTTTTGGCAAAATCAGTATATTAAGGGAATTTGGAAAATTCAATAAAAATATAGTATACGTATAGCAATGTTCATCCCAAAACATTTTACAAACTATAGGCCCAATACTCCAGTGTGCTGTGACTGTTTTGTACTGCTCTGTTGGCACAAAGTAGGCCTAAAGCTGGTCTTTTAGCATCTGGTACAATTTTATATAGTCGCTATTAGGAGAGAAGCTGGAAAGCAAAGTGGCTTGAAGCTGCTTTTGCCCCAAGCATCTCCCTCCTTCCCCACAGTTTATTGGCTGCACCATAGAATCTGACATGATATATACAAAGTAATTGCTTCACTCCATTCCTAAAATACCTCTAAGGCAGAATACCATAGCTATTTAACAGTGCATATCAGCACTGCACATCAGTTTTAGATTGTATTAATGGTAAAATGAGGAAAGGAACTATGACTTCAGGTAACTTTCCTTTTGGATAGAAGCAACGAATGAAGTCTCATTGCACCTTCGTTTTTGAAAGACATGCTGTATGTTTTAAACCATATGTTAACTATTGTAATAATACTGTAAACATACTATTGTAACAATACTGTGCCACTATTAAACATATTTGTATGCATTAATGAACAGGATATGAATCATGAAATACAGAGTTGGCCAAATGGATCCTTGTAATCATAATTTTACTTGATATATGCCTATAAAGTGACATTTTTCTGATTTTCACAATTCCATACTAGAATATTGAAGCCCAAAACAAGATAAAACATTCAGAAAAATAGGGATTTTATGTCTAGTATGTATAATGCAAGAAAATGACGTGTCCAGAAATGTCCAAACGCGGCATTTTGTTTTAGATAATAAAATGTTTACTTCTCTGTTTATCTTTTAGCTATAATTTAGACAGCAACATATGGAATGTAGTACCTGTATCAAAAGGACCTCTCCAGAGATATGGACACAGTCTTGCTTTATATCAGGTTGGGATACTTCTAATATTTTAATTCATTCTTTCATGCGCAATGTTAATGATCATATATTGTGCAAATGGCAGTCTGAAGCTGAAAATGTGATTTTCCATAAATTTTAAACTGTGAGGATAATCTCGTTTCTAGGTTTACACTTGTGCCATAAGCTTCTTCAGTCCTTACTTAGAAAGATTGTTGTACCATTTCTTAATGTAGATGGTAACTCAGTTTTCAAGCTGACCCTAAGCTCTGAAAACTGAGACTGAGTAAAATAGTACAGAATAGGAGCTTGTGGTTTTGTGTAATTTGAACTGTTGATGTGAGAAGTACACTTGTTTGTTCATTTACTTATTTCAATTTCACTGTGGTCTTGTTAGCACATGCAGGGCCATAACTGTATTACAAAACTAAAATTGCAGTACAGTAGTATCATGTACTGTAAGATGTATAGGTAAACTGAACTGTCAGTTTTGTTGCTATGGCAGAATCTCTGGAAAAACTGAACTAAGTCTTAGAGAAAGCTGTTGTGCTACTTTCTTGAAGGTAAACTCAAAGGCTTTTTTTTAAATTAAAAAGCCTGTTTACATTAACAGAATACAGATGCGGAGTTGATACTTATAATTAAACACAATTTTTAAAATCAGATTTTCTTGGCCTATAGTTTGAGACCTCTCCGACTTTTAAAGCACCGTCAGGTATTCAGGGAATGCAGTGTAATTTTTTAGGTAGCTTTAAATGTTAGCAATCTCATTGACTCTTGCAGGAGAAACACAGAACCTTGGTTTTAGGTCCTGATATATAAAAGGGTTTCCAGTTCAGTTGACTTAAGACAAAATGTCCTAACCATTATCTCCTGTCATCACTGCTGTTGGCCAATGTGAACTTTTTAGATAGTGACCACTCTAGTAATATGTGATTTAATAAATGCTTAAACAAATAATTTAAGGCTTCTAAATTTCACTCTACAAATACTTTTCTTGCGCTATTTCAGAGTAATCTGCATCTGTTTTAAATGTTCTTTTACCAGCAATATATAGAAAATTTTAAAAAGCAGTAATTGTAATAAAAGGAACTTGTTGATAACATAGGGATCTATTTCAACCTCAGTGTGGACATACAGCTCTTGATGATAATAATGAGAGCTGTAGGCACACATCTGAAAAGATATTATTCAGTGAAACCAAATTTATTGGTAATTAGTATCTGCAATTAGTGAACATACAAGACCAGCAGTATAAAACAGATGATTAAATAATCAATTGTGAAATTAGTATGGGCCAAATGAGTATTCACATGTGAGTGAAAGAATTTCAGTTGAACTATATTCAAAATGTACAGACTTTTAAAAATCCTTTAAAATCTTTTAAAATCTTTCTAGGACAAAGTTTGATTATTTACTTTTTGAGATCTTCAAGAAATTGAACAGGAACATAATTTATTGTAGAAGAGTACCTGGAGGTGGCAGCTTTGAGCTGTGGACTAGTCATTGTATAACACTTTTTATTTAAGAACAAAAATATCCACAGAAAGAAGTGATTAGATTAAGTTTTAAACTTTAACTCCTGAGATTTTAAAGTCTCACTCCAGACCAAAGTGAGAGCATAGGAGCCAGTGTAGCCTGATTGTGGTGCAAAGTAAATTGAAGCTATATAATTGACTCTGTGGAGAATGAAATAACTTACTGTGCCATTCCTTAGAAAGCTACTTTAGTTAAAGTTGAAGTGCTGAAATGTTTTATTCTGAAGGTAAAAAGATCAGAAGATTCCCACTGATGTATAGTTATATAAAGTGCCCTAGACATTTTTATGCATTTATAGACAGGAAAGCATAGAAGCATTCTTGCTTTTAGACCCATCTAAAGCGTTACATGGCATTATCTTAAACACCTCTTCTCATGACCAAACTGGCTATTAGGAAGTTGTTCGTCTCTCTCTGCGTGGCATTGATGCACCACCATGAAGAAGTCTGCATATAGTTCCAAACACCTCAATAATAGAAGGAAATCAGCAAATTGGAAGGAATTCATAGAAGAAAAATTAAGAGCCTTGATGGAATAATTTCTGATATTAGAAAAATAAATGTGGATATCTTCGCTAAATGATGAATAAGGGGGGTGTTAGAGGATAAAGTTAGACAATACCATCTTTTCTTGCATACCCCTAGGCATACAGTAAAATGCAGTTTCACAGAAAATGAATGTGGTTGGTGATATTACTTGGATTTCTAGTGATCTGGTAGTCACATTACAAAATTTTCCATCATAATTGGCACTACTGTTGGCAGTTTCAAGACAACCAAAGAATAAAGGGGATTAAGATTGAATTGTGAAGGAACAAGGATGAAGCACACGGGTAGGGTGATGTAAGAATGACTATAGTGGTATTGCTCTTTGTATAGACAAAGAACTTCAGTATTCAAGCCAGTCAATTTGACACTTGCAGAGACACTAAATTCACTCCCCTCCACTCCAGATTATATTAATTTAATAAGTAAGGTTTTATCAAAGAAAGCTAATTCTTTGGTATTGATGTTGAGACCATATAGCCCTTCAAATATGATTTCACTGATTTGATCAAGAGCTGTTCCTAGAATTAAAAAGGAGTAAATAGTTTCTGTATTTGCTCTAATACCCCTTAGGCAAAATTATTTTATCAGCTGTTCATTGTGGCCATTAGATGTATGCATGCACTTGTGTAGGCTATTATAATTTACTCCAGAACACTTACATAATGCTTCAAAGGTCTTTTCTCACTGCTCTGTTAGCCTCTGATAGCAAGAGGTAACCTCAGGTCACATGGTTTAATTCTGTACATCTTTCGGTTACTTACTATACATCCACAAGTTGGTTTCTCATTTTGATCTACACAGTATCTTAGAAGTGATTGAGAGCTAGATAAAATGAACCATCACACACATACTGTATAGAGGTTAGAAAAGTCTCTTATTGGCACACAACTGATTTATTTAAAGTTTTTCTTCAATTCAGTAGACCTCAATCATTGATGGAGTTTGTTTCTTGCTATTAAAGGCTGAGATTTTTCAAAATTCAATTTATTGTTATATTCTTATTAGTTCGTTAGCATAATACTGTTTTGGTAATCATTTCCAGGAGGCCTAAAAGCTTATAATCTGTAGTTAGTACATTTTTATATAGTTTTTGTTTTTTATTCCTTTCAATATATTTAAAATATGTGCAATTCAAATACTAGTTCTTCTTTGAGTGCTTGCACATGTCCATTCCATTGTAGATATTTGTGCGCCCCAAGCACAATTGCTGGAAATGTTTCTCTTAGCGATATCTGTTGGGTCGGTTCTAGTGCCTCTGGCGTTGCATGCTCATAGCATCAGTATAAGGGACTGACGACCCTGCTCTCTTTCAGTTCCTTCTTACCTCCCATGACAGTTGCTGAAACATTGATTGCTCAGGCAATCTCTTCCATTAGTGGTTCTCTATCTAGTGTGCACTGTAAATAGACCCACCAGGCCCTGAACATGGGTCGGCTCATGGACCAGAGTTCCCAGCATCTGTCCCCCGGCTCCAGGCAACGCTCCTTGGGCTCGAGGTGGCGATCACCAGTGGGCTGGCGCAGACCTGCAGAAGGGCGGCAACTGTCTCCACAGCCCCAGTGCCGTGAGTGCCTGAACTGCTCTCCCAGTGCATGGCACTGCTCTGGCGGATTGAGTTGCTGGTCCCCAGAGCCCCGCCACCAGTCGCCAGACTGTGGATATGGTTCACCGCAGGCACATCCTCGATCTCTAATGCGGCGGTCTACTTGCTCCCGGTCCTGGTCAACAGATCGGCAGCGCTCGCTAAGTGGCAGGCGTAGATCACTGGGTTACCATCGCCGATCTGCCAAACGCTGCTGCTGATCACAGTGTCGAGAGTCATCACCCTTGTTCAGATCCTCAGTGGAGGTCCAGGTCGGCATCGATGGCATCGGGCTAGACAGATGGCCTTGGCATCGTCCTGGTCCCCCAGACATGTATCTCCCTCTTCGGGCTCTGACAGCGAGGAGGAGAGCCTGTCCGTGGGCCAGGGGCACTGGCATTCCCCACAGGACCACCAAGGGCAGCATGGCCTCAGGGCCAGTGGTCTTCCCCGAGCAACTCTGGAACTCTTGGGGGTTCTCCCCAGCCATTGCGGGGGTATAGGTCAGCCTCGGGGCATCTGACAAACGTTTGGTGACAGTCTCCTCCCCGCCCCCTGTCTTGGACGCAGACTTAGAGCGGGCTCCTCAGGGACACCCAGCCTCAACTGAGGCCACCATGGCAGAGGTGGCAGACCTGCTGGTATCGACCTCCTCATCGTCATCTCCTGATGAGGCAATAATGGGACCTCTCACCCAGTTCCCCAGGATGATGCCAAGGCTCACCAAGAGCTCTTAAAGAGGGTTGCCTCAAACCTGGGGTTGGAAGCCGAGGAGTATGTCCAGGAAAAGGCCTCAAACCCATCTGTAGTAGAAGCATGCTGTATAGTAATGTCCCTGGGTCATCCTCAATCATCTCTATGATCTGACTGCTCTGAAACGGTGTTACTGATCAGGTGAACTTCTTAGAATCATTTGAATTGTTAAGTGAAACAGTTCACATGTTCACTTCTTGTTCACATTCCATGGTTAACACCTGGTTTGTGTGTTCTTCTTTTTTCCCAGCTGTCAGCATTTTAGATTTGTGGAACAGCTAACAAATCAGAATAGCTATACCATAACAGCTTGAGGGGATCAAGCCCACACTAGCATTTTGGAGGAAAATATGTACAGATTCTCTGCCCCATTCCATTCCTTTTTTGCTGACCAAGTGGTGCAAAAAGGAGTGGAAACCACATGCAAGCTCCTAAGCATGGGAGAGTCTCCAGTGGGTAGAAAGTCAGTGTTGCTTGTGCATGGGGCATGTTGGAGAGTGGCTGTAGCTACTGTGCTCTGGCCATCCACAGTTGGTATTTAGTCCCTTGGGGTTGCTAGCCAGCTGGCAGGAGGTTTAACTTAAACCAGGTCTGCGGCAAAGAATCACAG